ATCTGCGAACGAAGGTACCAGCCAGAGCAAAAGATTGGAATCCTTGATCGGTAAGGTTATCATCTTTGATCATCCAACCCTTTTTTCTGAATTTCCAACACCAGTGAGTGAGGTTCATCTTTTTGTTCTTCTTGATATGTGCTAAGTTCTTTTTCTCCTTCCCAAACATTATAGAGGCATAGTGCTTCCAAATTGACCATGCAATAATACCAGGAAGAATAATCCTCATGTTTCCTTTAATAGTGTCATTTTTTATTTGAGGTTCCACTCCAAAATGTGTTACTTGAGGGAGATACCTTTTTTAATTTTAGGACCATCAAAAATGAGACTCATTTCTTCCCATATCTTCTGTATTTGGGGGCATTGTAGAAGGCAGTGATCCATATTCCCCTCATTCTGTAAGCACGTGGGGCATTGGGATGGGTAGCTATAGCAGAATTTGAAAAGATTTTAAGGAAAAGGGAGGATGTTGTTGTTGACTTTCCACAGAAAAAGTTGTACTTTGGGTAGCTGCAATTTGTGCCAATTGAATTTGTCACTTATTTGTAGTGTTGTGTGGTTTCTGCAGTGATTATAGGCTTGCTTTATGGTAATGGGGACAACCTCTATAGCATCTTCATCATCTGGATAAGGTATGATATCTCCCATTATTTCCTCTGATGTGTTGTTGATTCTGCAAATCCTTTTCCTGATGGGGGAATCTACAAGTTTCTCAACGGAGTTCTGAGTACTGTATTTTGCTCTCATGAATTGAGCCCAATTGTTGTTGTTGAATCTAGAAGTCCACCAAAGTTTAATAGAGTAGGCATCCTGTAGCTCTTCTAGATCCCTGATTCCCAACCCTCCTTCTTCCTTAGGTGAGCAAATAGTCTCCCAATTTGTCCAATGGTATTTTGCTTTATTGTTGCTTTGTCTCTAGAAGAATTTAGCCATCATTTGTTGGAGCTTGTTTATGACAGATTTGGGTAAGGAATGGGCTACCATGTAGTGGAGAGGAATGGTGGATAAGACATGTTTAATTAGAAATAATGTCCCCATCTGATTAAGAGTCTTGTTGTACCATTTTTCTATGGAATTGCTAAAATGAGAGATTAGCTCACCACAGTCTCTTTTCCTCAACACCCCTTTACAGATTGGGATTCCCAGATATTTGAAAAGGAGGGTATCTTTCTTCATTTCTTGTATATTTTCCATCTGAAGGATAGCAGCTGAGCTATTTCCCCTTCCACAGTAGAATCTTCTCTTATTATAGTTTATCTCCTCTCCTGATGCTTCTTGGTATTTATTTAGAATCCTCTTAACTTTGATCAGATTATTGCTTTGGCCATTGCAAAAGATGATAACATCATCTGCATATGCCAAATGGCTAATCAGCTTGCCTCTACCAGTATTGAAATTCTTAATATAACCAGTGGACATATAGAAGTTCAGAGCCCTAGAAAGTCCTTCACTTGCCATTAATAAGTTCAGAGAGAGGCCCCCCCCCCTGTTTTACCCCTCTTTTCATCTCGAAAAATCCTGTGGGACTGCCATTAATAAGGATGGACAAATGGGTAGAATTAAGATTAGCCATAAGAAGGTGCTGTGCTTGATTAGAGAAGCCCATTCTGCCAAGAACCCCTTGTATGTATTGCCACTCCAGTTTATCAAATGCCTTTGCAATGTCAATCTTAAGAATGATATTACCACCTCTAACCTTGGTATCCAGCTTGTGAACCATTTCCTCCACCAAAAGTATTTGTTCCTCCACTCCCATACCTTTTTAAAACCCAGTCTGTTCAGGAGAGATAATTTTGGGAAGCAAACTATGAATTCTGTTATCAAGAATTTTAGTGTTAATCTTGCTCATGAATGTGGATAAGGAGATTGGCCTGTAGTCATTGAAGGTCTTGGGGTTATCTGTTTTAGGAATAAGGCTTATGAAGGTACTACCATAACATTTAGGCACTGGAATTCCAAAAAAACTCCTGCGTAGCACTGATGACATCCTTCTTAATTATATTCCAGCAAGATCTGAAAAAACATCCATTAAATCCATCTGGTCCAGGGGCACTCCCATGGTTGAGGGACCAAACAGCCTCTCTAATTTCCTCTTCCAGTGGTAATTTGCAAATGTTCTCATTATCTGCCTGTGTTACCATATTATCCAGGTGTGCAAGGATGGGTTCCATGGAGATAGGATTACTTGAACTGAAAAGGTTTGTAAAGTGGTCAATGGCTATCTCCTTAATAGAATCCATATCTTTAATAATCCTTCCTGCATGATCATGTATAGTTATGATCTTTGATTTAGTTCTCCTACCTTTGACATAGCCATGAAATAATTTTGAGCTACAATCCCCTTCTGAAATCCATTTGAGATTAGCCTTTTGCTTCCAGAAACTCAATTCATTATTAATAGCAAGAATTAGTTGAGCTCTGCATTTATTGGCTTCTGCCATATTTTCAGGACTAGGGTTCTTCTCATACTCATCTTGAGCTACTCTGGCTTGTTCTTTTGCTTTTTTGAGGTTTGAGAAAATATTGCCAAAAGTATCTGAGTTCCATTTCTTGAGTACTTGTTTAAGCCCCATGAGCTTGAGACCCAAACAAACCATTCCTCCATAATGGTGAATGTTGCTCCAGTAATCATTTACCAAGTTATGGAAGGTGGGGTGTGTTGGCCTTGAATGCCGTACCCCGTAACCGTTTTGATGTGCCAAATAAGTCTTCGAAATGTTACTAACATCATTTGCAGGAAAAACAAACGCCAAAACCTCTATTAGCTTGTTTAGCATCACCGAGATATACTCCTACGAGTTTAGAAACTGTTGTGTAAAGGTAATGATATATTTTAATGAGTTACTTATGCCCTTTCACTCAAAATTTAATTTTAAAATGACAAATATATTCTTAGTTGGGGTTATTTTGAAAACGGAACACAAAAAACAAGTTTTGGAATTTTTACACAGGCCTAACGGTACCTGGCTACCGTATACACGGCACCAGGGTACCGCCGGTAGCCTAGTGAACGTACCGGGTACGTTTCACTCAGGAGGTACACGGTACCCCCCTACTGTGACACGGTACCTGGGTCCCACGGTAGGCTGAACCGGCTGGATACCCCCGTCCTAACCAGGTACCACCAGTAGCGAACCTAACTTTTGGCCTACACGGTACCCCCAAACGGTAGGCCGTACCGTGTCACGGTACCCAGGTATCGGATGACACGGACCCCCCTACCGTGAAGGGTACCGAATCCGTTACAACACTGTAGCAAATTGCCAATTTAAATTCAAATCACCCCTAATCACCTCCTAACGGCATTTAAGGTTAAAAACTCATATTTTAACATTCCAAACTCCTATATAAACCCCCTCTAAGTCTCATTTTAATAAGAACAACTTCTCAATTAAATCTAAAGCCTATTTCTATATTCTTGACTGTTCTTAAAGCTTTGTTTTTATTTTTCTTACTCTTTTGAGTAAAAAAGCTTTCATCTTTTTATACACTCACAAACAAGGGCATTTGTTCTTCATTATTTTATATCTTGCCTATAGGCTTTTGTTGTTGTTGGTTTAATCTTTTGTTCTTCTCCTACCCTACTTATATTTGTTATCATTTTGGTAGAGAAGCAACACCAATCTTTTTATTGATTTGTAAAAGGTGTGGATAGCCTCTAAATCCTCATTGTAAGGTTCAAGATAGCCTTAAAATCTTCGGTTGTAAACGGTTGAGATAGCCGTAGTAAAATCTCATTTGCTTATTGGCAAGGGTTATTTGCCAAACCTCGTTTGAGTCTTCTTAGTGAAGCCAAACAAGTTAGTGGAGGTTAAATCCTTGAGGAGGAGCCTCGAGGTACTGGAGTAGGGAGTTCCCGAACCAGTATAAAATCGCTTGTGTCGTATTTTTATCCTTTATATCTTTCTTGCTCTTTTTCCGCTACTACTTTGCGCATAAGTTTTTGTTTTTAAGAAAAATTTGCAAACACCCTAATTCACCCCCCTCTTAGGGTGTAAACCGACTTTCAGGGTGGTTAGTCCAGGAGTCTATAAATCTGAAAGGCTTAGGCCCACCAGTATTTTCTTGTAAGCATTGTAGAAGTAAGGGTTTGTGGTCAGAAGTAGCTTTGTTAATGTGCTTGAAAATAATATCATCATACTACTGAAGAATTTTGTTATCCACCATAATTCTGTCAAGTCTTCTGAAGACCATTCCATTCTTCCTACCCCTAGACCATGTGAAGGAAGAACCTATAGTTGGGGGTGTTGTGAGATCACAGGATTCAATGCAGTCTTTAAACTCATCCATATCCTCTTGCTTAGGGAGGCTCATTCCTTTGTGTTTTGACAAATCTGCTATAATATTAAAATCTCCTCCAACCACCCAATGAATGTTGAAACACGGGTTTATCACGTTTTCGTACTAAAGCCGTGTTCGTTTTTATAACAGGTTTTGATAATGTCAAACCGCCGTGAACGAGACAAGTTGAATATACAAGGCGAGAAATAAATATAAGAAGAAAGCAAGAGAACAAGAGCTAAAAGAGACCAAGAACGAAGACCGTAGTCTTTAGCGTCGTTGAGTCGGTCACAATGTGATCAAGACCGACCCAAGCTTTGCACTTTGGCTCTTTAGGCTAAAACATTTTTTATTACATTTTACATATCATCAAAATTATTTTCAAACATGCTTAAACATATTTAAAAACACTTGGTGTTCGCCCAAACCAAAAACCAAGCCATCTGGGGTTCGGATTTCAGAAACTGGCGTTCGGCATTTGGTTATCGGCGTTGGTTTTTGGCATCCGAACCAACCAAGTTGTTTTCAAATTTTTATGATTGGTTTTTACTTCTGGGCACATTTAAATAGTTTTCCATAAAAAACACTTCAAAAACCACCTTTCGTTTTTTGTCGTTTGATAAAAACCATGCAAAACGGCATAAACTTGGCTAGCCTTGGGTTTTACTTAAATGAAGTAGTTTTTGAGTCTTTTTGTGTGGGAATTGTTTTTGAATGCATTTAAATGGTTCTCCAATCAAAACATCATGAAAACCACCTTTCGGTTTTGTCTTTTGGTAAAAACCACCTGTGTACGGCATTGACTTGGTCAACCATGGGTTTAACCAAGTTAAACATGGTTCTTAGTCCTTAGCGATGGTTTTCAACTTGATTATAAAAAATCATGCCAAACCAGTCCAACATCGAATATTAGGTTGATATTTGATGTTTTCATGATTTTCAACTTGATTTTCATGAGTCACGCTTGACTAGCCAATCATCAAATATGAGTTTAATATTCGATGTTTTGATGACCAAACATGGTTTTTGGCATTCGGGAAAATTAGCAGTGTAGTTCTCCGAACAACGCTATTTTGGAAGCTTTAAATTTCCTCAATTTTTTACTGCAAGTTCTTGAACATTAATGTTCAATGGTGAACATCAATGTTCATATCTGACTATTAGGGGTCTTTAAGACAAAATCTTTTCTTATTTGAAATTCAACCACCAAAACAGTGATGTTGTCTCATGAACATTGTTCTTATCATGATCATTAGCCATTCAAAAAGGAAAGTCAAACCTTAGAACAACGATGTTCACTTTAAAACATCGATGTTAAGCCTAGTTTTCAATAGGCCAACTTTGATTTGATTTCCACAAATCCAGCCAATCAACACCCATCTTCTCTTTTCTGTTGCACCTTGCTTTTTGGTATAAAAAGGGGTTTCTTGGGTCTAGCTTAACACACAAATCTTAACTTTATCCATTGCTTTACTTGCATCATTTCACAATATTTTTCATAGATTTTGAGAGCCAATTGATGAAGAATTTTGTGTTCTTGTTCTTATACTTGTCTACTCATTTCCTACTCTTTGAGAGAGCTTTGTACTTTAGTCCTTGAGTGTTTCTATACACTTTGAGGGAAGGTTTTACCGTTGTTATCTTGAAAGAAGGACATATTCCTTCAATATGGTTTTGAGACTAGTGTCACTTGAGTTCTCAAGTTGTATCGGTTTGTTAAGCACCCTTAAGCTTAACGAAAGTAGTGTTGCTTGAGAGAGTCTCGAGAGACTGGATTAGCCACACGTTGTGGTGAAAAAGTGTAAAATGGCGTGTCCTCTCCTTTAGTCTTTACTTTATCATTTTTATTTCCACACTTTTATTTCTAAGATTTTTTAAATGCTATTCACCCTCCCTCTAGCGTTGGGCATATATTCTAATCATTGCTATCAGAGCCTAACTCTCTTCCAAACTTAACCGTTTAAGGTGAAAAAGATCATAAGTTCTTCTTCTAGAAATTTATATACAAGAATAGGTGAAGGGTATTCAACTTTAAGACCACCGCTCTTTGATGGCACAAACTATACTTATTGGAAGGAAAGGATGAGAATTAATATTTTTTTGGCAAACTTACAACTTTGTCTTATCATCAACGATGGTGAGATAGTTCCAATGAATAATGTTGGAGAAACCTTGGTCCCAAAGACTAAAGAAGAATATGATGAAGAGGATGCCAAAAAGGTAGAAAACTATGGTAAAGCAATGAACATGATTTATTGCATAGTCAATCAAATTGACTTCTCAAAGATCTCTAGTTCCTCTGTGACCAAGGAGATGCGAGACAAACTCGAGTTCACTTATAAAGGTACGAATCAAGTCTGAGAAGCTAAAAAGGATTTTCTAACCCCTGAATATGAGTTGTTTTGTATGAAGGAAAATGAGAAGATCGATGAGATGTTTGATTGGTTTTCAAAAATCATCAACGATTCAACACACTCAAGAAGGTATACACCAACAAGGAGATGTTGAGAAAAATCGTGCGAAGCTTGCCTCCAGAATGGAACTCTAAAGTCGATGCCATACAAGAGTCAATTGACATCACCGATGTCAAAATTGTCAAACTTCGAGGTAATCTTAAAAGTTATAAATCTACTATCCTTAACCCATATTTTAATGATCAAAGGAAGAAAGGGGTAGCCTTGAAAGCCGCCTCACCTCAAGAACAATTGGAGGACGACTGTAGCGAAGATGACAATGAGTTTGGACTCGTTATCAAAAAATTGCACAAATTCATGAAGAGGGAATTTGAACGAAAAGGAAGAAAGTAAGGAGGACCTCCAAAGTGCTACGATTGTGGTGAAATTGGACACATAAAACCAAAGTTTCCAAAGGCCAAGAATGGAAAGGAGAAAAACTTCTTCAAGAAACAAAAGGCCTACATTTCATAGGGAGGCAACTCTGGAGAAGAGTCAACAGACGTAGAGGAAGACGAAGCTGCCAATCTCTACCTTATGGCTTAAGAAAATTAAACTCAAGAGGTGTGGATGAAGGCTTCAAGTGTACTATGGTACCTTGATAGTGGATTCTTCAAGCACATGACTAGTGATGCATCAAAGTTCCTCTAAATCAAATCCGCTAAAGGAGGAAATGTGATTTTTGGTTATAATAACAAAGAAAAAATCATTGGAAACAGATTAGTTGATAAAAATGAAAACTCTTCTATTGAATATCTTTTGTTGA